GTTGCAGAGGGTAAACTTGAACCAGTTCTTTTAGCCGATGGTACCGCCGCTATTCTATTGCAACACACAGTCAAACACGACGATCGTTCCGAAACTACATGTATGTATGTTCAATCGCCGATACAACGGAATTTGAATATCTCATTGAAAAAGTCTATCCCGACCTCTTATCTTAGAAGCTAAACACAACATCTATGGATACAACGACCTGTGGACGCAGCGCACCTGGGTAGCAGTAGTTCACGGTGGGAAGCTGCCGTTGGATATGTATGCATGTCAAAGATATGGTAGATTGGGGTTTCTATCTGCCTGGTTGGCATGTTGGCAGGAGAGAGAGATAGATGGAGAGAGAGAGACGAGAATCGTGTGCAATAATAATACACTGTGTTTACCATCACCAAGGAGGTGAATTGATCAGCCCCCAGAGGCCACGGGGGGAGGATACTGGTCCTAGGCCTTGCCTGACTTCAGGCGTGTCTACAGTTATCGATAACTCAGGCTGACCGACCAGGGTCAGTCAGGGTCAAAAAACATCTTCGTGACAACAGCAGGACGAGCTATTCCTCCGCGTTAACAGTTTTCAGCGTTGCCTCTGGGTTGTTGTTTTCTTTTCATCATTTTCCTTGCGTGTGGCAACTTTGCCCATTTCGCGTTGTTTGCGGTGTGTTGGTCATCCATCCATTGCGTAGGTTTCTCTGTACGCGTGTCTACCGGACTTAGCCAATCTTGTGCGGTCGTCCGACACGTGCGTGTTTGTCGTTTGAAGCGTCGAGCTTATTACTACCGGAGTAGACACTAATCAGCTTGAACTCAAACAGCAGTAGGCACCTGGTTGTACTCAAGAAGAAAACGACAGCGGTGTTTGTGAATGATAAACACCCGTACACGGCGATATCATGCCTGACTAAATCATGCCACACCAATGCGTCAGTCAGCGCAAGTGTTCAACCTCCCATGCAAAACATAGAATGCCTCCATTCAACAGTGAAGGACAGATATGTATGCATGTCAAAGATATGGTAGATTGGGGTTTCTATCTGCCTGGTTGGCATGTTGGCAGGAGAGAGATATAGATGGAGAGAGAGAGACGAGAATCGTGTGCAATAATAATACACTGTGTTTACCATCACCAAGGAGGTGAATTGACCAGCCCCCCGAGGCCACGGGGGGAGGATACTGGTCCTAGGCCCTGCCTGACTTCAGGCGTGTCTACACACCGTGGCATTCTAGCACGCACAAATGATAACAGTGACCAGATCGATGACTTCATCCTTCGTTAAATGCCAGGAAATGGTCACGAACAAGTTGGTTCAGACAAGATCATCAAGGACGACGAATACATGCCAGATGGTGTTTTCGTCGAATACCTTAATAGCATCAACGACCCGGCACGCCAGGCGCACAAATTCAACCTCAAAGTTGGAGCATTGACCTTCTTCATCAGAGCATTGATCTTCTTCATCAGGAACATCAACTTTGATTACGGTCTCGTCAATGGCAAACGGGGAGTTATTCGAGGGATTTCATGACGCGTTATCGACGTTGAAGTTCTAACCGATGAATCTCCCATCACATCATTAAAATACCACGCATCGGCTTGGAAGTCAAAGTGGGAGCGCCCGGTATTACCTTTCACCGTTACCAATTAATTCCCTGTCAGATTGTGTTACGCTATGACCATCAAAAGTCTCTTTAAAAAAAGTCGGCCTCGGTCAGTTGTACCGCCGTTAGCCGTACAACCTGCGAGGACAATACCCTATGCCTCGTTGAACATGGATCATCTCGTCAACGACATCCCCTACGTGCACGACGTTGTCTTCTCTGAGTTTATTGTTTCAGCCACGGTCAACCTTCCCCTACTTTGACATTCACCTACCTCGTCACCATGGCCAAGGTGAAGCATGCAACAATGGAAACAGCACATCGCCCAATGATGGCGATAGCGGTGGAGCGGGCAACAACAACGGCAATAACACCAACAATGGGAACAACAACAACCCAAGGATCTTGGCAAATTGTCAATGAAAGCAGTGATGGAGCATGCCTACTAAGATGCATTGCCCTTAGAGTTTTCAACGACTCCAACATCCACCAACTGGTCAGAACGCAACTCATCAACCACATCAACGACAACCTCCATAACCCCTTACCAGGCTCTGCACAAAACACTTTTTACGACTCCATCTCTGCTGGAATCAATTCAGAGAACATTTAAATAGCTGGTCAAACCTGAACAACTCTACCAAAGTGTCCCGGAATACCTCCATCTCATGTCTGCTCCAACTCCCTACGCTACCCATGTCGAGATTGCAGCTGCCCAACAGTTGTACAACATTATCATAAGAATTACCCTCGTCGGCCAACCCTTTCACCGAACATTAATATATACTGTAGTCCATGACATACAGCCCTTTGAGCAATGCGCATGTGGTCTTGCGTCACCCCCGGGGAACCTTGTATGTACATATAAGATTTGGTCACGTTTCATGCCTCGGCGTTTCTTTCTCTCGTGGGCAGCAAGTCTTTTCTCGCGGTTCCTTCTCAGGGGCACGCAGGAGGCTCGTCGGTACATTAACGCCCGTGCCAGGAGCTCGGTATGCCTCCGTGGCGCGTGTGGTTGACGGCCAAAGTTGCGAGAACTGGCTCGAAACCCCGGGGACGCGTTCCGCGCAGACAAAGTCTGGCGAACCAATTCCTAAAACCTCTCTGTTGCATACGAGGAGATGTTTTTTCCTCAGCAAGTTGAGAGAACACGGTCGCAAAATTTTTGGAATCATTTCGATGGTTCCTAATCGGTGTAGCATCATAGCAGCCTTTAAACGTTTCTATGTAACGTGGTTCTTCACGCACAGCTTCGGGGCCGTGAATCCGCTTTGAACCCTCACCTCCGGTTTGCAATTGTATTGTGTGGAAGATACATGGTCACAGACCTAATTCATAGCCCATGGTTGATTAGAACACGTCATGCCAGTCACAAATTTTTCGGATCTTTTCTTCATAGGTCAAATCTATCTCCCCGATTTTCTCCGAATGGGTGCGGGCCATCACTGCACCAGCTGCACGCTCCCCACAGATGGATTCACAACAGCAGTAACACATGTCTTTATTCACACATACTGTGCGGTGTATGCATCTGCATCAGCACCTCTTCTCGGGGCTGGTCATGTAGAACTATGTGTATATACAGTTACAGGGAAAAGTTCAATTCAACACAAGCTCAAAACGAAAAGCCTGACAGGTAGAAACGTGCCGATTGCTGAATTTTTCGGATATTTTCTTCATAGGTCAAACCTCCGATTTTGTCCTGAAGGGTGCGGGCCATCGCTGGTGGGCCATCACTGCGCTAGCTGCACGCTCCGATGGATACGCCAAAGCAACAACACTTATTCATACATTACGGCGCCGTGTATGCATTTGCATCAGTACTCCTTCTCGGGCTGGTCATGTGCAGAACAATGTGTCTATTCATGTACAGGCGAAAGTAAGTCCGATTCAACACGAAAAAAGAAAAAAAATTCCAAAAGCAAAATCTGCCGTGGCATGCATATATTCGGCTGCCCGCACTCGCTCTCACGATGGCTCTCCTCGCATCTACTCTTTCTACACCCTCCCTCTCATCACAAATCACAGCTCACACCGCCAGAGCAGCTTCCACCCTCTTTCTCTCCCTCCGTCAATACACCGTACATCCATGCCTCGCCAAAGCCGCCAAGCCTCCAGCGCCGCTACCAACGCATCGTTCCCCTTCCACCTAAATGGTTTTCGTGTTGCCACATCCGTCCCATGATACATTCGATGTTTTGTATGGGGGCGAGCACTACCGAACTTTGCAATTTAATCCGTGACTTCACTACTTCCTTTCCTACTTGCGTCACCCCCGGGGGGTCTGATACCAACGTCCCGAAGGAGGACCTTGTATAAGATTTGGTCATTTTTTGTGCTTCTCGGCATTTCTTTCTCTCGCGGCAGTGAGTCATTTCTCGCGCTACCTTCTCCGGGCCACGCAGGAGCTTCGTCGGCACATTAACGCTCATGCGCGGAGCTTGCAGGCCTCCCTGGGGCGTGTGGATGACGGCCAAAGTCGCATAAACTGGCTCTATACCCCGGGGACGCGTTCCGCGCAGATAAAGCCTGGCGAACACACCATCAACAACGACAGAAAGGAAATGGCCGGCACGCACTTTTCGAACAGGTTTGTTTCTCGGTGCCAGCTACAGCTAGCTGGAGAAACCTGATCATGTTGCTTCAAAGCTGGCGCCATCACCTCGGTTTGTGGTATTTCTGGTTGTCCGGGTTTGCAGCGAGCAAAAAGCATACTTGAAAAAATTGCCTCTTGCCCAACTTGTCTTGCCTGATGTTCATTTCCATCATTCATAATTCGCTGATTCCACCTCGCTGTAACTTCGTGGTATCGCACGCTTTGTCCAAGAGCACCTACCTACCTAACTTTGCTCTTCTACACTTCCCAGCGGGCCCAGGGAGACGCCGCTCGCTGCTGTAGATAAGTCTGAGCGCATGCACCCACAGTGTTGACGAAGCTTCAATGTGATGGCGGGTAGCCAACGTTTAGGCGAAAATTCATCGAGATCGGAGCAATTTCGTGCTGTTCGTGCTGCTGCGTGCCCGTGTTTTTTTCGTGCTTGGTAAGGGCATTCACCGACACAGCCAAACGTCAACGCAGGAGGCGCCAATCAATCTAAAAACTTGCTGAGGGCTTCTCAAGTAGTGCCGGACGGTCGATGGTCTGATTCCTCGCGCCTCGGGCGTTCGGGTCAAAAAAGCGCGTGGTTCGGGGCTTCGGAGTGAACGGGACAGACAAACAGACAAGACAGACAGACACTTTTTTTTTTTACCGTTCTGTGAAACCTCTAGAGACCGTATCGGTCTCCTATAGGACCATCGACCGAAGAAGAACAACTTGCTTTTACTTTAGAGAAGAAACCGGAGCTCACCAGCCTAAAACCAAGTGCGAAACGGGAATGCGGCTTAACTTGGGGCCGAAAAACTGGCGTCCAAATCGACCAATTGTAGGACAAGCCCAGGGGCACAGAATGTGGGGGGGCTCGTTGTGCCCCCACTGCTTGACTGGCCCAGTACGACCTGTGTAGTGGCAACCAACCCCAAACATGCATGATTGTAGCCCTTCGTCGCTACCAGGTGCACACTCGATGACTATCGGTCCACATCTATTCATCATCGGTCCCAACGTATCCGACCAACTGGCCAGGAGTTTTGGGGTATTCCCCCTCCTCCCCCTCTCCTCTCCTCCCTTGAGGAAATGGTTCACCTACCCGTGTTTGCTCACTTATAGAACCCACATTCGATAGCTGCTCTAAAGATGTTTCTCGGGGGTAACCCCCCATGTACGTCTTCCCTCGCCTTGTCCATTTCCCAGCATAGTTCAGGGCATTCCATGTCAGGCTGCAACAGCAGCACACACCAACTTCCCTTCGATGTACACACACACCACATGATGAACTGGCAACGTGTTCATGTATGCACACCTGGCCCGACACCAACAAACAGCAAATAAAAAACCCGAGTACATGACATTCAAGCAACTGCTACATATAACATAATACGCCTACATCCGATGCAACCGTGCCCAGCACGCGGTGGGCCCTCGTCGAGGCAGAGTCCGAGGTGCCCTGAGAATTACCACGTCCTCATCATAGCTAGCTACACTTGTTCTGCGTAAGGACGGCCGAAGCGTAGCTCACCGAAGAATCCTGCCGCAGGATTTACGAAGGTGCAAAATCATCGTTGATGGGAAGGCAATGATTATTTGGAAATGTGGCTTTATGGAGATCTCCTTTCTGACTGGACGTCGTTTTGGATAGCGCCCAATTCCGGCTCGAAATGTCAGTTGGTTTTCAAGGTACCACACAATCTCAACGCAATGAGAGCGTGACCTGTAAACTGAATTGCTAGAGCAGTTGGTTCCCACGACCACCACGAGAGGCACCACACCGCCACGACGTGGGGAGATCTCCGACATCAGGTGCATGTGGCGGGTGAGTAATCTGCGCATCCATTTTGGATAGTGAAGATCTGAAAGAGTATGGCCGACCGAGGAATTACACCCGCAGGTTCTCGATCTGGAGTTGCTCCAGGCACAGGCGGCGGCCACACCTTCATGTCTACTCCTCTCGTAGCTTGTCATTTCTGGTGCTTCGTTCAGTGAAGAGGGGTCGCTAAAAAACTGGACTGGTGACTATAACACAGTCTGAAACCAAGTAGCAGTCCAAAATATGCAGGTTCACTTATTAAGAACTCCAACATCCCTCCTCGATTTTGGCATTATCGAAGTGTAGGTTTGTTTCCATGCATCCTTTGTGTGCACCTCAGGAGCCCGCTTGCAAGCCGCGGTAGGCCTTCAAGGGGCGTTTTAAACAGCAGCTATTTCGGAAATTGGAAAACAACAGCTGTGATTAAACGGCCCTAATCGAAAGCAGTCGGCCCTCGCCAACCCACCCATGCCAGCCTTCCAGCGCCTCGCGGTCTCTAACAACCACCCCACAAGATACACCATGACAGCAACGCGGAGATAGCTTTGATACCATTTTATCCCCGAAAAACAAAACTCAAGGGTTTACCAGCAACGGTTTCCTAGGCGAGCACACTCTCGGCGGTTTTGTTGTATGGCGGCAATTGTTTTGGCGGTACGCGGTAATACGTTTTGGGCGGTAACAACAATGGCGGAGGCGATATAACCCAAAAATGTCGGTAATTTGTCGATTATGATATGGCGGCTCGTTTTGGCGGTAGGCGGTAAGGGCCTGATTTATCGTTAAAAAGTTGTACCGAAATTGAGGCCTGCAAAAAATAAGTTTGGGGGGGGGGGTGCCGGGGGCCAAAGACGCTAATTGGTCAACAGGAAAAAACACGATGAGGTTTTCTCTGCCCAGAAAAGCGGGACTTCGATATTGGGTGCAGCAAAAACAATTGCAAATTGATTTTTTTTTGCTGAATCGAAGTACCCGAGTTGCCCTGCACCCCTTTTGCACCCCCCGTGATGAGCTGAACTGGTGTTGGCGCTACCCCTGACCGGACCGCATGTGGCACACTGGCCGTGCGGCACCCACACCCATCGCCCACTGCCCGCTGCTGGGAAATAGTTGTATTGCAATGATTCTGTGAGCGTGTCAACTTTTCGCGCTGGTTGGGCTGCTGTGGATGCTTTCCAATAAGTTCGATGTCAAAAGTCAACGGCCGGTTGTGGGCAACGAGACAGTAAATACGTAAATACAAAAGTTGTTGAGCAAGCCTGAGGATGATGCTTGGACCGCTGGCATCGCCTGCTGATGATTAGCTTCGTGCGTGTGCTGATATATTATTATAGCTCCCGCGTGGTACACACGGTCTATCGCTCTACCTAGTTGGTCACCGCGTCACCTCGCGGCAGCGATTCCGCCGCATGTGGGTGTTGCTGAACCTCGATGTGGCAGAATTACGTTATGCGACCCAAGCCCTTCTTGCCCAAACACCCAATTAGGTTCATCCAGTTTGGGTCCTCAATTTAAATAGGTGTTCAACTTTTTAACGTTAACATAGGCCCTAATGCGTGGTGTGGCGGCAACGACTTCGGCGGTGGCTGTAAAACAAAGAAACGGCGGTAAAACGGGTGATGAGGTTCCCGTACCCGGCCGCCCTGTTTTCCTACAAGGATATCAGAAAGGCCCCTACAACGCCGACGCAGCAGCAAGAGTTCTCACCTGGGGCGACACCACCTTGGTGCTCTGTGCGTATTCGACCCATGTCACGCAAATGCAGACCGTCGAGGCCTCGATTGCATTGATGAAGGTCTGAAATCAGGTGGTTGCCGTTCGTCAGACGAACACAAGTGGGACATACAAAAACACCAACAAGATAAAATCCTATCAGCTGCCGCTTAGAAAACATGAGTTGAGACAGCCTCGTTCGAAGACCAATGCGGGTGTGGACAAACAGGTACATTTTTCCCGCCAGAAATAAAGTCGAAAGACATTGGTCTATCTCGATAACCATAAACTTCCCAATTCTAGACGGCGAGCACCCGACTAAACAGGTCCGAACGTGTGCTTATCCCTGTTCCACACACCTCGCCGCTCTAGTGAAGTACCTGCATACATTTGGTACAGTAGTGGGTGGTACAGTACTACACTCGCCATCAGTGGCGAGGGCCTAAATCTCTGCACGGCGAACAGATAGCATCCAACCCCCTTTTACCTTCACAGCTGCAGTTGACCGATGACACTTACCGCAATGGGATGCCTTCCACATATTGTGTTTCCATGTTCTGCAAGATATCGGTGAAATCCCACCGCGTCCTGAGATTGAATTAGCTTCATGCCCTATCACGTCGCCAAGAAGAGCAGTAACAACGACCAGACGTTACGACAGTTCCTGTACGCAACCAGCTACGACGAAGGATTAGACGGAACTGCGACCACGCTGGGGGATTGTAAAGTCACAAAGCAATGGTGACGGCAAACAAGGACGCACTACCTCTTTCATCGCCACCTGGGAAAACGATAGCAATAGGTCGATATGTTGCGAAATGATCAGTATCAGGGTACTTGTCCACTAGTTAGGGGGAAAACAAAAAGTAGTTTGGCGGTCTATCGCCGTGAACAGGTTTTACCGTTTTGCCAAAGTCGTAACCTCCAAAAACTCAGATGTTTCACCGCCGAAATCCCACATAATATTCCGTCTAGCCTACCGTTTACGCCACAGCTGTCACCGTTCTCAAAATACAAACCGTTTAAATGGCATTCCATTGCCATCTCGAACCGCCACACTAAGCGATATGGCGTACCCTGATATTTTGGGTCGCACTGCATCGCACCCAAGACAAGGCGAATCGAACTATATTATAGGTTAGTCTTGTCGGGAGACAACTGACGCCAGCTATTCTCAAGGTCGGCAAAGAACTGATGTCGGCAAATGTGCAATGTGTCTTGCAAGTATACATGCCGAAAAACACATTCGTAGGTCGCCGCTGACATATTTTCTCCTTGGACCAGTGGGCATGAGGAGTTCTTCAACGGGGAGTTCGGCATACCTCATGGTCGAGCCAGCTGATATGCTCGTGGATAGCGCTGTGAGCAGCACCCAGGGGCTGGTAACGAAAGCGCGAGCCCCAGTGACAAAAGTCAGTGCTGCAACAAAAACACAGCAAACAAGAATCCAATTAAATTCATGCTGCAACATCGAACCGTCAAAACTTGATGTCCGCGGCAAGAAATACGTGGCCGCCATCTGGGCCACACAAACATTATTTTTAAATGCGTGCAGACTAGATTTACCTGATAATAAAGAAATTGGTCAAATCCTCCAAGTACGGCGCCAGGATCCTGCCAGAATACGTCAAGAGAACACACGATTTTGGTCAAGCTCAACAGACAGATTGGATTCGGCCCGAAAGGACCGAACGCGCGACACACATGGTGGGGCATACACTAGCATGGGATGTGGAAACGTTGCAAGGCATAAATGGAAGATAGTCTGCCAGCGCCGTGCCTGTGCTCAGGGCTTTTTTCAGGTGCCTTACCAGAATGTGCATCAGTGACAAACCAATGTAGGAGCACGCCTGTGCCAGCTCATCGTCTCAGTGCGGACGTCATCAGCCCGTGTCCCACATGCGGTGCGAAGTAAAACTCGACAATGGTGTTTCAGGCAGAGTACTCGAACCTTGCTTTAGCCACAAAAAGCTCTTCAAAGGCGATGGTTCCTTCCGCACCGGGAATAACACAAAATTATCTACATATGCCGATAACTATGTTGGTGTGGTCCAAGGTGAGAGAGCGGTCTTCAGCTGCTTGAGGAGGGACGAGAAGCGCCAAATGCATGCCCCATCCGTCTTTTGCTTAATGTGCATTACAACGAAAACCAGAAGCATCGCTACTCGCATTGGAGAAGCGCAGCCAAAAAAGGACATGTACCTGCCATAGTGTTCCTCCAGCTCCGCCGAAAGTGCTCCGATCATGATGGCAACAACTGTGCATGGTCGGCCTTCCATCACCTAGAGGTGACACGTGTAGTCAACCACAACTTAGTTCCATATCTTGCGCGAATAAACAGACGAGAAGGGGCCGTCAATTCAAGGGCCTTTGGGCACAAGATTAAACAGCCAATTTGATTTGCCTCTAACTCACTCAAGATAACATAAGTTCGATTTCCAATCGCCCAACTGTGCTGCCGACCCCAATATTCAGCTCTCTTACCTTCCCACCCCCCTCCAATCAGCACAGATTTTGTCTCATCAAGTAACGCATACGCGTGAAACTGCATTGTTGCAATCGATTTCTTGCGACAAGAAATACCTTTTTGATGAAGGGTAAGTGCATCTCGATGGAGTGTTCGTCCTCGTCCATGCGTGCTGTCATCGCGTCGAAGTCACCAGTTGCAAGCAGCTGTCTTGTCACGTCCTAAAAGGAAGGCGCACGTCATAAACTTGAGTAACGTGTTTTTTCAAATCAATGCGTCATGGATTGAAGCCCGTCCGTCTACGGACAAAGGCAGCGAGGCCGAGCAGTTGAGATGCAACGGACGTGGTTACAGGAGGGGCTATTCAGGCACCTGGTCGATTGCGAGGTCGCCTATTGGAGTCTCCAGACGAGATGCAGTGGACACGGCGCATCTTCTGCAAGGAGAGGAAACGCAGAAGGGCAATGAGGGATTGAATGGCTTTGTCAAATACAGCATCGCAAAAAAAATTCACAGAAAAAGGCAACGTTCGGCTTACAACCGACCTGACACAACCCGCAAAAACGAACACCGGAGGCTAACTGGCGTCAGAAACATAATAATCATTTCGCCCCGGGAAGTGAAATGTCGAATGTGGATATGAAAGAACGCGTGCTGAACGACTCACCGCATGTGAACATGATGAGAAGGTCCGAGAACAAAAACCCTAGCCAACTTGGAAGGATCCATATGCGCGTAGGCAGAAGCAGCGGTCTGTGCCGAGTAACTGCAGTGACACGATCCGAGACCACACATGTCGCGTGGCGGGAACAGCAATTGAGGCATACAAATCACGATCGACTGTGAGAAATCCAGTTCGGACATAGCCTGAGGAATATCCCGAAGCGCACACGGGGACCGATGACGACCTCGATTCTGTAGCATGGTACGTGCGCAAGACGCAACGGACCCACCTGAACCCTGCATGCGGAGCTATGATGGCGCGAACAGCACTCCCGGGCTTAGTCGTGTGCGCCGAAGCTCCGAGCCAATCTGACGTTGCGGAAATGCAAATATGACACAACCCAGCCACAGATTCGTGAACAGGGTTTGACATACCATTTTCACGAGCAATTCATGCGTTCGATACAGGACGTTCACGTGGGGCACCACTAGTGAAAAAAAACATGACCCCACCGGTAACTCTCGCCGTGTTTCTTCAAGCACTTACAACGCGGGGGAGCGCTTATTCTGTTTCAGAAGACGATATCTTTCTATCCTCGGGGTCAATGGAGGCACTATCCCCGAGGTTGATATGTCTTGGCGCTACCAGTGGTAGGGCGAATTGGCAGAAAACGCAAGGCGGCCGGCAAACCGGGGCACCCTGTTGAACGCTTGTTCAATACTCAACCCACGATTTAATTTTCGTGACTTCTCTACCTGGCCACGTACGCTGCATTCCTGCGCGATAGGCTAGTGCTAAAGGGACGTGGTCACATCACGCGCCTTCCTCAAACCAGTACCGAAGTGTTTTTTTATAACACACCCTAGAGGTAGGTGTTATTTTAGCTCAATCGGAATCTTCCAACTTTGGGGCGCTCAGCGCGCAGGGTCCGGCCGCTCAGCGTACATCGGCGAGACTCCGGCCACCTTCTCTCTTTGCGGTGCGGACGGGGAGCGCCTCTCCGTCATCAATCCCCACCGTGAAGCGCGCTGCAATCGCTGCCGTCGCACCTGCATCTGCCGAGTCTACCAAAAAATAAATACACACACAGACTTGCCGACGTTCCGACTTCGTACTCTCTCGGAAGTTTTGCGAAGGTTGAATGTGTTATCACCACTCACTGGTATGTGTTGAGTGTGTTTCAGCCACACCCACTTTTACGCCCCCTCCGCACACAGCGACTGGTATACGCACACGCACGCACGTTATGGTACAGAAGCACTCAAGCCATGGTATATGTAGTGGGGTGGAATCTAACAACGCCACCGGCAAGCATTGTAGTAGCAAAAAATGAGAAAATTACATCGTGCCGGCAGAAAACACGTATTTCTGCACGTGGTTCCGCGAAGAACGTGATCATCGAAGCTGCGCCGACAGCAGTGGAGCCGCCTGTAGATGTAGAGGTTGACCGTGACCCTCCATGTGCACACGCACCCGCTGACAAATTCAACCCATCGTTGGGCGCAACTGAGTGTATGTGCACCACCTACCAACTACATGTGACGTCCAACGTTAGCCCCCCGCGTCCGCCCCCTGTGAAATGCGTCCGGAACCAGTGAAAAATTTGCCTGCATCCCCCCCGCGCTCCTCCCCTCTACGCATGATTTGAGTCATGAGTGAAATAATGCACAGCTTCCCAAAGTGTTTCGCGTACAAATAAGAGAACATTCCTATTCCTCAAAACGTGAGTGGACCTCAGCTTGCTGCCTTCTTCCCCTTCGCTCGATACGATCAACGTCTAAGCTCGCGAGTTCCTCTACCAAAATATTGGAAGAAATGAGGCAAACGACACAACAGGGTATACCCTGGTCGAAAAGCGACTCAGCTGGGTACATACTATTCAACAGCGTGCATGGACACCCTGCCGTGGCTACTTTTCTCCAGAAGTGTACCCTGATTTCGAAACTGTACCCTGACCTGACGGGAAATGAGACCCTTTAATCAACACTTTCCTCCGCAGGAATCCTTTCTCAATCATTTTCCTCTCCAACCATGGGATGCCAAACATCGACTCTTCCCGCCCAAAAACAACCATTGCCACTGGGCAGAAATCAATCAGGACAGACTTTCCGCCCGCGCGAAACAACACCAACCATGAATTCTTCCCGCTCTAAACAAACAATGGCTGGCAAAGGCCAGCATAATTTGTTTGGAAAGCAACCGACACCTATGCTACAGCATCTTCTATATGCGAGATACGGGTCAGGCTTAGAACACCCGACTGGTTCAGCATGATTGAGATGCATGCATGTGCCGCAGAGAGGGGAGGAAGGACACATACTACACGTCTTCTCCTTACTCCAGAAGCAGGACACGTTGTGCTGTGCAACTCCTGCACCCTCCCTATCGGCACAGAGTGTCGCGTTTGTTTTTCATCCCGTTGCATGTCATATTCATTGGTCGGCTGGTACGCGCGATCGACACTATAGTGATCCAAGCGAGACACAAACACCACAAATTGAGACACCAACACAACACACAGGCCGTCCTCATCAATCATGAGCGAGGAGGGAGTGGCGCCGAAGGAGCTTCCGTGAAAGCGGCGCACAAAGTTACCCATGTACTATCGTCATCCTACACCAAGCACACACATCCAACATCGCAAAATGGACTACTGTATCTAGCAAAGACGACGTGTGTAACACCCCGATGTTTCCAACGGAACTATGCTGGCGTTTAGCATGTACCAAGCTGAGTCGCTTTTCGACCAGGGTATACCCTGTTGTATCGTTTGCCCAAGGAAATAACATGTCTTCTCATACGCATATCTGTCTCTGTGGACAGGACTACCCGCGAAGTCTATAATACGTGTATACGGGGGGAGGGGGGTCTTCATTCTTCAATTGGAAC